ACACTCTCAGCATCCCTGGGGGCTCCTGAATCCCACATTCTCAGTGCAGAAATCCAAATGAAGGCATTACCGACAGCCAGCTGTTCAGCCTCTGCTTGAACACAGAGTAGCTGGAAACCCACCACCTCCTTAGGGAATTGGTACCACTATCAAGCTACTCTTCCCATTAGGAACCTGCTCCCTAAAACTAAACAGAGTCTGCTTTCCTGTCACTTAAGACTATTGTTGTAGTCCTACATTCTTGGATAATACAAAATACACTATGGTCTTCTCCTGAATGATACCCTTTCAAGTGAAGGCTTGTATCTTCAACAGAAAAACACCCACAAGCTACAAACCTGATCTGAACTCCATTAAAAGCTCCTCTGTCTTAACCACATTCAACAATCAACCTACCATAATTCAAATGGGTCCTATCATACATTTTCTCTAAACCAACAGTTGTGTAATCAAAGTTCTCACATTCACGCATTTCTCAAGGACCTGCTGAAGAGTGGAAAAAGAGGTTTCAACATCCCCTGGTTGGATGTGTTGCTCAATATCACCTCTCATACCTACCCAGCCAAACCCTGTCATATGCATGTTGAACAAAGTAACCCCCCAAGTAGTTTCTCATTTGCTTTTACCTTTTCCTTTTGCACAGAGGAACAACAATAGCCATGCTTCCAGTTGTCAGGTAGACGCCATATTCATTTCCATGCATGTATTCCCCATATCAGCTCTTCACAATCAGACCAGCTTCATTCAGATCTGTAACATCCTTCCCTTTTTGCATATGTTCAGACACAAAATATACCTATTTTTTGTATGTTCCTCCATGCTGTTTATCACTTACTCCCTTTACAATATTCCATATTTACTTTATTTATTTACTAATAAAAGGTGTAACCCTCCCCTGAGGGCTTATTCCCCCCCCCCCCGAGGCAAATTGGTTTCTTCATGATCTCAAAATATTTAAGCTGCCTTCTGTTTCTCTGGAAGCCATTTAGCCTCCTCTATGTCTACTCATGTTTTCTGAGGCATATTTTCAGCTCTTCTTAATCCATAATAAAACAGCTTTATCTCCTCATGGACAGCATTTCTCCTCCTGTTAGTTTATTAAATCAGTGTTATATTCACACTCCAACACTTGGTGCCTCTCTGTCTTTGCTTTTTTAAAGGAATTCCACCATTTCTTTGGAACCACTTACTTTACTGCCCCCTTAAACGGTCCACCATTGTTTCTTTTCTGAGGTAAAATGTATGTCTCTGAGCAGTTTCTCCAAGTTCAAGTCTTTTTTTTTCAGCTGGTATCTGTCACCTTCTCCAGGATCTTAATTTAATCAACCCATTGCTCCTGTTCCAGACACCCTCTCTCTATCACCTCAGATCTGTTTGCTCCCTGAGAAACCAAAATGCTCAAGTTGTATGTTTTATTTTCCATCCCCTCATTTCCCTCCTTTGGCTGTTCTCATCCATTTCTGAGAGGGTTTTGTTCACCTTCTTGTGAGTAGCTATAGTTCACTCAGAGCTACAATCATTTCATATGAAGAAAAAGAGTATTTGTTCTGGGCTTCAGACATTATCCGCCTTTCCAAGATTGCAGACCATTTAAAATCTCTTTTTCCAGACGTTGACTGTTCAGAGTTTCTAGAAGGTTCTTGAAAGATTCGCTTTGACTCGGGTGTTGCAATTTACGTGAGGAAATCCAGCCCCCTCGGGCCAGTCCTAATCCCGGATTCCTGAAACCTGCTAAGGCAGGCCAAGCAAGCCACAGTATGGCCTGTAACCACGATTTCTGCCTTAGGGAACTCTGCCAGTATCAGGAAGAAAGTTCTTGAAGGCGTAAGCACTGAGACGTCGGAGTCCGTCGATCTCCTCCTCCACTGAAAACTGCGGCCTCCCTAGCGGAATCCCCTGTCATTGCAAAGGGACCCCACCAGGGGGCGCTTCACGGGGCGGAAGTGACAGCCTCCGAGCTTCAGGAGAGAACTGGGCATGCGCCTGACCGCTTTGCCTGCCGGGGTTTTAGGGGGGAGCACAAAGGGGTGAGTGACATCGCCGAGCGCCTGGCCCTCTAGGACGCTGCACTCGCTCGCCTTAACCCTTTGAGGCTTCCAGGAGGCAAAGAGGCTGCACGGAAGTCTTGCAGGGACGGGGACCCACACGTGACTCTGTCTGGGTGAGCGCAGAGCCCTTCTCGTGGGAAGCCTCCTCTTGGGAACGGACGGGCGTCTTGCAAAGGCCTCATCCAGCTTCAGTCTTTTGAATCCTGGGGAGGAGGGGAGACCCTGGCCCCATGTCCCCTTGTCGCCCCTTTGCATGCACGTGCCAGGCAGGGGGGCGGGCAGAGCGCCAGACCTGCTGCGTTGGCCCCTGGAAAAGGCCCAGGATCCTCAGGAAGGAGGAGGGGACCTGGGGGAGCCCTCCACCCCACTCCACCCCGCCCACCCCCCACTGCCAGCATTTCCAACAGACCAAAACTTTTGCAGGAACGGAGACCATCATGAGACTCTGGCTGCGCTTGCACAGAAGAGTGCTTGGTGGGCTTAAAATGATGTTGCATCCTTTGTGCACAGTGGGAATCTTGTGAACCTGGAGTAGCATTGCCACAATCCTCTTTGGACTTTGCATTTTGTGGAAACAGAGCCCATTGCGGCGGTTGGCTAGTTGGGTTTGGCGTCTTGCATGAACTCTTCCTGCCTGCTTGCATGAAAGTAGGGCAAGGCTCTTAAAAAGGAAGGTTTCATGTTTTCTTCAGGGTGAGGAAAAAGAAATCCAAGATCTCCCCAATCTATTTCTTCCCTAATTGACAGAGGAATATTCTTCTTCCTTTTCCCATGCATGGACTGACTCCAAATTATATGTTTTTCCTCATAAATTTTCTTTTTTCGTGGCGTTACCTCCCTGGGTTATTAAAGGGTCAAAGCTGGTACCATGTCTCTGAACTTCTGGAAATGTCTTTTGTGTTGCCCTCGGATGTATCAGCTGAAGCAATTTCTGTTCTTTCTCTTCATACAATTCAGATCATATGAATGGAAAGATCGTTGGAGAACCAGGAGATCTGTTGACCCCATTTGGGTCTGTGTTAGGGAACAGAGAAGAAATGAGGGAACAACACCCAGTAGGTGAAGGAGCTGGAAAAGGCCCTCCTGCTGCTCAGCCTGCCAGATGTGGGGAGATCTGCGCAAGAACCAGGCAGAAGATCCTGGAGGAAGAAGCCATCAGTTCAGAGGCCTGGTGTTGGCACTTCAGGAAGGAACATTACCAGGAGTCCAAGGGGCCACGAGAGCTTTGCAGGCACCTCCACTACCTTTGCCGTCAGTGGCTACAGCCAGAAACACGAACGAAGGCTCAGATGCTGGACCTGTTGATCCTGGAGCAGTTCCTGGCAGTCCTGCCCCTGGAGATGGCGCGCTGGGTGCGGGAATGTGGGGCAGAGACTAGTTCCCAGGCGGTGGCCCTGGCCGAAGGCTTCCTGCTGAGCCAGGCAGAGGAGGAGAAGCAGGAAGAACTGCAGGTGAGAGAACTTCATCTTTTTAGCTTTCAAGGTTGTTCAGTTCATGAACTGTATGAATTTATTAATTCATTAATTAATTGTCTTCATACTAGAGATTCTGAGCATAAATGATATGAGGAGATGTTTAACTCTTTAGGCAAAGTGTCTCCTTCCAGAAGATGTATTTGGGACAATTCTTTCATTGTTGTTTTTCATCTCCATTGATGGACATCAAGAGATTAAGTTTCAAAGTTGAGGACAGAGTATGAGAATCCAGTTCATCTTGTGTGCTGTTCCATTGTATTCTGTTCTTTGCTTCTCGAGATACAGCAGGCCCAGAGACCGTTCTTGGAGTCCGTCATAGAAGATCCTGAGGGAGGAAGGGAGCTGCTTCTCAGGGGGATCTCCAAGGAAGATCCATGTTGTGACACTTCAGGAGGTGGGGAAGGTCCTTCAGAGTTCCATCTTTCATTCTCTCTGGCCTCTTTTGTGCAATATTTCTCCATATTTT